GTTCATTTTCTGAAGAAGGGTCTCGGCCCGAAACGTCAGCCTTCCTGCTCCTCTGACGCTGCTTGGCCTGCTGTGTTCATCCAGCTCTGCACCTTGTTATCTCAGATTCTCCAGCATCTGTAGTTCCTACTATCCCTTATCAAATTGCTACTGAGTTCATGAGTTCATGCTAGCACCTTGTCAGGTTAATTGGGGACTGGGGAAATAAATGCCAGCCAGCAGTAAAAGTGGATGGGTTTTGGCTGACTTGGTCACTGTTTGTGAGACTAACTTTCAAAGCCAGATTTTATTATTGAATTTAAATTTCACCAGATGCTTGAATTGTACCCAAACCCATGTCCAATATTTCATGTAATTTTGTTTTTTGCCATTGCGCAGATCTCCACAATCAATGTACAGAAGCCATTCATTGGAATGCCGTTTGATGTGCAGAGAGTTTCCCAGTGGCCATGCAGTTGAGAGAGAATGTTGTCCATTCCCCAGGACAGTAGCCTGAGCCTCTGAATTACTAAATTGGTGACATTGCCACCATGTCACTGTCTCCCAATAAATTTCTTGACACTTTCACCGTCATTCACTGCAAATAACTGGATTACTCTATGCTTGGAATATGTATTCTATAATTACCTTCCAGTTGCCGAAGAATCAGTCCCACTGTATTCAAGATTTGTTTGATGCATTTCCTAACGTTTTGGGGTTGTTTAGAAACTCTGGTGCTGTTTGTGTAAATTAAAACTGCAAGTCCATCGCTGTAGCTGACAGTGATTCAGCCCGAGTGTGGAGAGTGAAAGATATGTTAAAGGATTTGTATGTATGTGGATCTGATGCTGAAGTTTTAAGTGTGGCTCTGTTTACACAGAGGTTTGGAGCCTCACCATGCCCTGTCAGCTGCATTCCTGTAATCCAAAAGCTATTTTAGAATTGAAAGTGCACATTTAAGTTCTGTGATTTTTTTTTTGTGTGTAATTTGTGTATTCTAAATGTGATGATGGCAACTTTTTACATAACTATGGTGAGGTGACCAGTGACTACCACTTTCTGTGGTACCAGGTTTCACAGGTGCACACTGTCTGGGTGAAGAAATTTCTCCTCATCTGAGTCCTTAATGGCCTACCCTGTATCCTTAGACAGTGACCCCCTGATTCTGGACTCCCTGCCATCAAGCACATCGTGCATCTACCCTGTATGAGAACATGGTGGCATATGGATGGGCTGAATAGACTACTTCTGCTCCTACAGCTTTGCTGCTTTATTCATAAATACCAATTCAAATGCTGTGCCTGTTTATGTTGTTTCGTTGCAGGGTTTTGATTTTAAGGGAGACAATTAGCCTTAAGATTAGGCTGCAACAATTCTTCAACCATCCTGCCTTTCAGCTATCTTTTCTATGGTACTGCCTCCTACAGTTGTAGGAGATAGAAACCCAGTACTCATCCATACTGGGGCCCAAACACTCCAGCCATTTGAGACAGCACCCCTAGCAAATGTACTTTTCTTTTCTGCAAACAAAGATTAGGTGACCAATTCACCTCTATTTTTAATTGTGTGGGACCTTGATCTTACTGTAACACGTCACCTCAACTCCTTTGTCACATTCTCAGTGAGACCCATCTTATCTCTGGCCCTCTGACCTGTTCTAATGGTGCTCCATAACAGTATCCTGAAGCAGTATCTCATCTTGCTGCTCAGCACTCTGCAGCCCTCTGGTCTGAACATAGATGTTAGTAAATTCATTTCTTGGTTCTTTCTTTGCATGCCTGTGTGTTAGCAATGGAAGAATGGTGTCCAGGAGGTGAGATTTGACATTTTGGAATGTCAGAGTTCGGTAGTGTTGGAAGGAGATGAGAGAGAGTGCAGTTTTGATATGTGCTTCTTCCTCTTGTTCCTCCATACCTACTGATCAACGTTGAACAATCTGCCAACATTTACGACATAGTTAACATTGCTACCTGCTCTGAGCACCAACACACACGACCAGGAGGGGGGAGAATTAATGTATTGGCTTATCTTTGCCCATTCTGTTGCAGAATTCAAGAAAAGTTCAGAAAATGATACGCAAAGCTGTGACAACATCAACTTTCTGAAGGTTGGCTGGTCTTCAAAGCAACTCCCAACGGTAAGTAAAACAACCACTATCTCATTATGCTGTTGTGTGCAATATTGCTGTACCTTACGCATATTTCGGGGAGAAACAAAGACCAAGGAGAACCATAGATTTCTAACCGTGCTTTTCGTCGCCTCAGGAATGTTTTCTTGTGCGGGAGCCGTAGCACTAATTTGCACGAAGGAAATTTACTCAGACAGAAGAAAGATATGTGGAGATAGGGGGAGGTGAGATTAAAGCCTACTTTAAGAGGATGAGTAGGTGGGATTGAAGAATAAGAACTTTTATAGGACCCATTCACAATGTGGGGGTATTTCAAAGTGCTTTACAAACAATGTCATTTGTAAAGTGTAGTCATTGTTGCAATGCTGGAAATACAACAGCCAGTTTGCAATAGCGAACTCCAACAACATCAATACAACAATGACCCAAATGATCTGCTTTTTTTTTTGTCCTTTTGATTGAGCAATAAATACTCAGCGCGATACTGGAGAGATTTCCCTTGCTGTTTGTCAGATTAGTGACCTCTCACTCAGGAGGACCGATAGAACCTTGATACAGAGTGTCGTTGAAAGTTCCTCCGTATTTCACTGAGTGTCAGCTTAATAATGTGCTCAAGCCTCTGTAGTCGGTCTGGAACCCTCAGCCACCTTGTTCAGAATATGTTGCATCATTAAACCATATTAATGTATGTATACGTCAGCACCTTCCTTAAAGGCTATATAAATACCGGTGTATTAAATATATTTAGTAACAGTAGAAAATTAATATATTATTTGTGGCACAGAAAGTGACAGTTCAGCCCATCAAGTCCATGTTGGTAGTATTGCTTTTGGCTAATTATGAGTTGATTTACAATTAAATTGGGAATGACGCATACATTTTATTTCAAAGCTGAAACCAATTCTGTCAGATATTGAATATCTTCAGGACCAGCACCTCCTCCTCACTGTCAAATCGGTGGATGGTTATGAATCCTATGGTAAGTGTTGCCAGCATAATGGGAAGTAGCAAATGTGAACTGTGAACATATTCCAATTAACCCTACGGCACATATTGACATGTCTGGTGAAGAGAAACTGGTAAACCTACCCATCTGTCTATGGCATGACTTCAATCCCATGCTCTGTAGTTGATTTTGATGTGTGAGCTGGCCCCTAACATTTTCCTGGGCATCAGTGGGAACTAAATGTAGCCTTGTCAAAGTCAACTCCTCCTGCCACTGAAATCTCATCCACGTCTTGGTTCTTCCAGTGCTCTTTCATTATCTGCTGGCAATAAACTTGAACTTTTTCAAAACTCTACACTGTTTCCATGCACATTCAAAGGCCTGTCACACTAAGTTACATTGGCTCCCAGGACCTCTCATCTACTTTAAAATTAAAAATGTTTCCCTATTTTTAATACTCTTCATTGCCTCACCTTGCCCTTTATATCTCAAAGGGTGAAATGGCCTGCTTTCTCTACATATCTTGCCCCTTGTGGGGAAAGGTGCTTCTTCTGGCATTAAAAGAAGCAAGTCATAATAAGTGTCCAAGAAAACAAATAGATAATTTGAAACAATCTTCTTTACTATGTGATTGGTGAGAAAGCAGTACTCGTTAACACGGAATAATTTAAATGCATTAAAGGAGAGGCTAGGCAACTATATGATGGAGAAGGAATTAAGAATAGGGAAGATAATGGCCTAGTGGTATTATCGCTGGACTGTTAATCCAGAGACCCAGATAATGTTCTGGGAAACTATGTTCGAATCCCACCACGGCAGATGGTAGAATTTGAATTCAATTAAAATAAAGTCTGGAAATAAGAGACTAATGATGACCATGAATCCATTGCCAATCGTCGGGAAAACCCATCTGGTTCACTAATGTCCTTTAAGGAAGGAAACTGCCATCCTTACCTGGTCTGGCCTACATATGACTCCAGACCCACAGCAATGTGGTTGACTCTTCACTGCTGTCTGGGCAATCAGGGATGGGCAATAAATGCTGTAACGCTCTCATCCCATGAATGAATTTAAAAAAAGAATAATGCAGATGGCATTCGATGAGGAAGGACAGGAAGACGCTAGATTAGGATGATTATGGAATAGTTTAGGTTAGATGGGCTTCCAGATTGGTTTCACAGGTCGGCGCAACATCGAGGGCCGAAGGGCCTGTACTGCGTTGTAATGTTCTATGTTCTAACAAAGAACAAAGAAAATTACAGCACAGGAACAGGGCCTTCGGTCCTCCAAGCCTGTGCTGATCCAGATCCTCTGTCTAAACCTGTTGCCTATTTTCCAAGGATCTGTATCTCTCTGCTCCCTGCCCATTCATGTACCTGTCTGGATGCATCTTAAATGACGCTATCGTGCCCGCCTCTGCTGGCAACACGTTCCAGGCACCCACCACCCTCTGTGTAAAGAACTTTCCACGCATGTCTTCCTTAAACTTTTCCCCCCTCACCTTGAAATTGTGACCCCTAGTAATTGAGTCCCCCACTCTGGTGGGCGGAAATGTTTCTTGCTATCCCCTTTGTCTATACCTCTCATGATTTTGTAGATGTCGATCAGGTTTCCCCCTCAACCTCCGTCTTTCTAACGTAAATAATCCTCATCTACTCAACCTCTCTTCATAGCTAGTGCCCTCCATACCAGGCAACATCCTGGTGAACCTCCTCTGCACCCTCTCCAAAGCATCCACATCCTTTTGGTAATGTGGTGACCAGAATTGTACGCAGTATTCCAAATGTGGTCGAACCAAAGTCCTATACAACTGTAACATGTTGATATGTATTGATTTTGCCAAATGACCTCATTCTGTGTAATAACTCTAACCCCTTTGAAACTTCACTTCCACCCAGTAAACTCTGTTCCTCAGCTCTGGTTGCAAAGTATTTTTCTACCTTTGGCGTTCAAGGAGGTGTTTAAGGGAGGCGATGGCCTAGTAGAGTTATCACTGGACTGTTAATCCAGTGACCTAGGTAATGTTCTAGGGACCCAGGTTCAAATCCTGCCATGGCAGATGGTGGAATTTGAATTCAGTAAAATTCTGGAATTAAAAGATGACCACATGCAGCACAGTGCTCCCTCATTGCTGTCCCTCTGGCAGTGCATCGCTCCATTGGCGCTGTCCCTCTGGCGGCACAGGACTCCCTTGGCACTATGATTCATGTCTTGAACCCCAAGACCATCTGGCTGTGCACTGAGACCATTGCTGGTTTGAACCCCAGCTGAGAGCATGATTTATGTTGGGTGAAGTTCTGTGTGGCAGCAGGTCCATCACTTGATTCTTAAACCCTTCTCCCAATGTGTTCTGCCCCTCTCAGGGGAGTGCTGCATTGCATTGAAGTCAATGATTGGCAGTACTGCTCAGCAATTCCTGACGTCGCTATCGCACAGAGGAGAGGAAACTGGCAACATCCGCGGCTCCATGAAGGTTCGGGTGCCAGCAGAGAGGATTGGAACTCGGGAACGTCTTTATGGTGCGTAGCCTGTCAACACGAGCAAGCTTTGTTTTCTTGTGTGGCTTTGTCTCACATGGTGTTGCTGACCCTTGTGTTTGTGGGCCTGATGATGCTGTTTAAACTGAGCTAGACTGCAGTTATACTGCAGCTTTGTGTTGATGTGGAGTGGTTTCATGTGTTTGTGCTTTTTGTTTGCACCATTTGAAATAGATAGAGTGGCTGATGTGGTGTCCTCCCCTTTTTGACTCCCAGAGTTGGCCATTCCATGTTGTGGTTTTGAATGGCGCCATCCTATCCAGGATGAAGAAGACAGGCTCCAGTATTCTACTGTAGCCCTCCAGTCAAAACTCACAGGCTAGGGCAGCTGCACTTTGTTTTGAAGGGAAGGGATCGGTGGCAGTGAAGCTTAATAGGAAGATGGCCAGCAACTTGAGAACTACATTCCTGCATAAATCTGGATCTTTAGGAGGAGGGGAGGAGTAAAAGCAATATATCGGTCAAACACTCCAAGCTGTAAGGGTATACTTACTGATTGAGAGAGATGAAGAGGAATAGGTGCACATTCATGTGGAGCATAAATGCTGCTATGGACCATGATGTTAGAGCCCAGCTGGCTTTTGTTGCATTGTATGCTTGTTTATTTTTAAGGAAGGAATGAAAGTATTGCTCTCCCAACCCTGGAGGAGAAGCAGAGGACACTTCCTGGCAGTTTTCCCCAACTTCTGGGAACCCAGCCAGCAATGATTGAAAGGCTCATGATGTGGCATCACTTTGAACTCTGTTTAAAAATGCTCCGCCTCACTGAGCTTTCTGCTTCATTGTAGTTGCATTCTGCCTCTTGAGCTCCATTGTCCATGCAGCATTTTCTAATGTAGAAATGTGGCCAAGAGCTTTTCTCGATGAGTTTCTGGCTTCCTTGGGATTGACTTAGAAGCTTTCCAGGGCCTTGTAAACATAACATGGTCATATTCTGTCCTTCAGTATCATTGGAATTTCTTAACGCCATGGTTTTAGTGGAAAATGCCTAGGTGAACTTGTCATGTCATCATAACAAGTTTTATGGTGGAACAATTGACAGGAAAAGTATGTAAACTTTTAATATTCCTCTTTAATGTGTGACATCAAAAAGCAATAGAACAGGTTGCCTGTTGCAGAATGCAGAGACTGGAGCTTTTCAATCTATTCTTCCAAGGGAGAATGGAACTGGAATTTAGGTTCTGATGTAGACAAATTGCTCAGTGGACAGTTGTCACCTGTGTTTATGTTATAGATGATAGGACATGTATTACATGTTTTGTTTTTCTTACTTTTATCCCAGTTTTTGTTGGGAGGTTGGTGCAGATGCTGCTGGGAAAGCCAACCATAGTTGCTACTGAGAGTCTTGCTGGACCACTTCTGAAACCAGCTCGAGGTCAACTGCGTTAGTGTGGGACTGGAGTTCTCATACAGATCACATTTCTTTTTAAAAAGAATACATTCCATGGGACGTGGCAGTCATTGACTGGGTCAGTATTTATTGCCCAACCCAGGTTGCCCTTGAGAAGGTGGTGGTGAGCTGCTGCAATCCATGTGTTGTCGGTTGACCCACAATGCCAACAGGGAGGAGTTTCAGGATTTTGTCGCAGCGACACTGAAGGAACAGTGATATATTTCCAAGTCAGGAATGATAGAGTCTTGTCGGGGAAGCTTCACGTGTTGGTGTTCCCATGTATCTGCCACCCTTGTCCTTCTAGGTGATAGTGGTCGTGGGTGCTGTCGAGAGAGCCATGGTGAATTTCTGCAGTGCATCTTGTGGATGGTGCACTCAAGCCTGTTGCTTTGTCCTGGATTGTGTCAAGCTTCTTGAATGTTTTAGCTACACCAATCCGAGCAAGTGGGGAGTATTCCATCGTACTCCTGAGTTGTGCATTGTAGTTGGTGGACAAATTGTCAGGAATCAGGGGGTGAGTTGCTCGCTGCAAGATTCCCGGACTCTGACGTGTTCTTGTAGCCACATTTCTTACATAACTAATCCAGTTCAGTTTCTGGTCAATGTTAACTTCCAGGACTTTGGTAGTGGGAGGGTTCAGCAATGGTAATACGATTGAATGTCAAGTGGTGATGGTTCGATTCTCTCTTGTTGGAGATAGTCATTGCCTGGTATTTGTGCGTGTGTGAGTGTTACTTGCCACTTGTCAGTCCAAGTCCGGTTACTGTCCAGGTCTTGCTGCCTTTGAGCATGCACTGCTTCAGTATCGGAGCAGTCACAAATGATGCTGAACATTGTGCAATCATCAGCAAACATCCCAGTTCTGACCTTATGGTGGAGGGAAAGTTATTAATGAAGCACCTGGGCCAAGGACATTATCCTGAGGGACTAGTGACTCATGTTGTGCAGTTTTAGGGTCCCAATCTGAGTCAGGAAGCCCTGGTTCATGTCTGGCCCACTCCAGAGGTGTGTCATAACATCTCTTATCAGATTGATTAGAAAATGTCTCTGTCCTGAGGAACTCTGCATCCTTGATGTCACATTCAGTCAAATGATTTCAAGGGCTGTCACTCTCCCCTCACCTCTTGAATTCAGCCCTTTTGTCCATATTTGAACTAAAGGATCTAATGAGTGATGCTTGACATAGAGGAGTACTGATTCATCAATGCGTATGTCTTTATTTGTGATCAGCAAGACGTTTCCTTGCCCATGTTTAACATGAAGCTGTGAGACTTTATGTCCAGAGTCAATGTTGAGGATTTTCAGGGAACTCCCTCCCATATCCCACAGTGCCACGACTGGTTCTATCTTTCTGGTGGGACAGGACATATGGTGATAGGATGGATGGTATTATCTGGTACATAATCTGTAAGCTGTGATTTACTGTGTATGACTGTGATAGGCAGTTGCTTGAACAGTCTGAGAGACAACTCTCCCGAAAGTGGCACTAGCCCCAGAAAGCAGGAACTGCAGATGTTGGAGTCAGAGTCAATATGGTGTGGAGCTGGAGGAACACAGCAGGTGAGGCAGCATCAGAGGAGCAGGAATGTCAATGTTTCAGGTTTACACCCTTCTTCAATCCTGATGAAGGGTGTAAAACCAAAACATTGACTTTCCTGCTCCTCTGATGCAACTTGACCTGCTGACTAGCCCCAGATATTGGTAAAGAAGACTTTGCAGGGTCAACAGGGTTGAGTTTGCTGTTGTCATTTCCAGTGCGTTAGTGAATGCCAAGTGATCTGTCTGGTTTTATTCTATTCTTGGGATTCTTAGCAGATAATACAACTGAATAGCTTGCTCGGACACTTCAAAGGGCAGTTTGTGTGTTACAGCTTTTTGAACCACACATGATCTGTTTCATTTTGATTAAATGAGGAATGCTAGCTCACCTGGGCCACAGGGATCTCCACGTCATTGGAGCCCCACAGTATTGTGTGGTGTTAGCCGAGCTTTTTGTGCTAAAGTCTGCAACAAGGAATTAAAACCCACAATTCTCTAATTCTGCTGAGAGTGCTATCCACTGTGACATGGTGAACAGCCTGACAGTATTGTGAAGTGCAGATTTACTGGCCATTTAGCTTGTGGTTTGTAGAATCTTGTAGATTTCCTGCTTCTTTTAGCGGCTTAGTCATAGTACTTGATTGTCAGGTAAGCTGATACCTTTCTGTCATAGTGGACAGCATATTTAGTGGTGACAGTGTTCTAGCCCCATCTGTTGGTACCAATGAGGTACAACACATCAAATTCCAGATCATTCCTATACTGTAAAATCACTTGGATATTTAAATGTCTGATCTGACCAGTAAGAATATTGCGCTGATCAGAGCACAGCTGATGGGGTGAATCTCTCCACTGTTTTTCACAGAATGGATTAGAGTCGACAAGGATGAGACTGGAGCAACCAAAGGGAAGCCAGGATGCCGAATGAGCCAAGACTTCAAGTACGGTCATTCATGTGCCTGATCTTTTCTTTGTTGGACGCCTGCAATTGCCAATTATATTGGCTCTCCTTCCATGGTCGAGGGAAAGGGAGGGCCTCGGCATCCTTGGGAAACTGTCCTAGACCTTTCAAGTGGGGACTGAGTAAGGAATTTCATTATGAAGAATGTAAGGGTTTGAGTGTTTAGACAGAATCACGAGGAAAATTACCATCCTTTTAATTTACTTGAAATCAAAGTTGATGTTGCTGTTACCTCAGCTCATTTGCTATTGAAACCCGAAACCATTTCTTTGGACCTCCCAGACTTTTGTGGCTGACCTTCCACTTGCTGTGACTTGAAGGTCATCTAAACCTGTGCATTTCCCTCACACTTGCCAGGTTCCATTCCACCATCGTCCCTGACTCTAGTAATGTGCCCTGTCTTCCAGTTTAAGTTTTATATTGTCATTCCTTGTCTTCAAAATCTCCCGCAGAATCTCTCTCCCTGTCTCAATAACCCTGCCATCCCTCCCATAACCACAGCCATCTGAGATCGCTCTGCTCCTCGTCTATTATTAATTAACTGATTAATTTTGACCACTTGTATTTTAAAAACACTTACCCTCGTTTCTCCTGTGGCTCTTCTGTCAATGATTTTAGATCTGTGTCCTCTGGTTGTTGACCCTCCTGCCACTGGAGACGGTTCCTGCATATTTACACTTTCAGAAGCATTTTCCACACCTACAAGTTAGCACAATCTCCAAGGCCAAGGGCAGCAGATGCACATGAGCACCCACCCCCTGTAACTTCTCCTCCAAGCCACTTGCCGTCCCAGCTTGGAAATATATCACTTCCTTCAGTGGCTCTGGGTCAGAATCATAGAACACCTTCCCTAACAGCATCAAAAATAGAGATTGCAGGAAAAGCTCAGCAGACCTGGCAGCATCTGTGAAGAGAAATCCAAGAAATCAGGTCCGGTGAGCCTTCCTCAGAACTGAGGTTTTCCAGCGATCTTTATTTTTGTTTCTGATTTACAGCATCCACAGCTCTTTTGGTTTTCCCTAACAGCATTGTGGAAATGCCTAAGGCACATGGGCTGCAGCAGTTCAGGAAGGCAGCTCACCACCACCTTTCCCAGAGCAATTAGGGATGTGCAACCAATGTGGGCCATGCTAGTGGTGCCACAGTGTGAATGAATAAAAGCAAAATTAATTCCTTTATGACTTTGAACAGCCTATTAAATGTCCCATAACCTGGTTTGTAAGAAGCATAATCCCAGCGCCTCCACATACTAAAGTCTCTAGTATTATTCTGGTAAATCTCTGCACCCTTTCCTTGACCTTTCTTTCTATTTTTGATGTAAAATCTTGGTGTAAGAATAGGCCAATCTGTAGGTGTGATTAAAAACTGGATTTAATGATCATTTGCGCTTCCACCTGATTTGCAACCTCTGTCTAACTTGCTGAACTTTGTGCCTAAGGTGATTTCTTCCCTCAGTAGTGACGAAACCTCTTGCTGCTTTGAACGGATCACCACAACAGAATGGCAGCCTGATCCATAGACCATTGTGGTGCAGTTGGCTGATTTCAGCTTTAACTCTTGGATCTCATCTTTCAGAGCGACGTCAAAGAAGCTGGCCTCTGCAGACAGTGTGGGAATTCAGCTTGGGAAACCCCTGTGCGAAGAGGTGGAGAAACCCAGTTGTATTGCCGTGGGGCGTGCACCAGCTCCACTTCCTGGGGCTGCTGCTGAAGACAGGTAGATACCATGGGGTTTGGGTGAAGATCATTTTTAGAGAAGTGCTATGGGCCATCAGCAAAGGCAGAATTTTATTTCGTCATAATATATGCGTCATGAACTAACCTAACCCACAGTCTGTTATTACCACCAAGCCAGGGAACCAACTCTGCTTCAAGAGGAATAAAGGTAGTATGCTAGGACCAGCATCAGGTGTATCTGTAACTAAGCTCCAACCTGTTGAAGAACCTAGCAAAGCACTCTAAACCTGTATATTAGAGAATAAAAGCTGTTTGTTTTCGAGCTAGTAATCCCATCGGAATAGATCAAAACTTTGCAGTAATGCCACGTCATTTATCAAAGTTGTAAACAATTAAGCTAAGGAGAGGAGGAGGCTGCATAAACATCTTGTTTGTCGGCGGTGGGAGTTCTGAAGAGAGCACAGCTCGTTAGTGCAAAAGATAAGGCTGAAGTATTTGCAACCACCTTCAAGCAAGTTCCACATGGACAATCCATCTGGGCGTCTTCCTGAGGTCAGCACAGATGCCACTCTTGATTCACTTCACATGATAAGGCACTGAGAATTGTAAAGGTTATGGGCCGTGACAAATACCTGACTATACTGGTGAAAGCTTTCACTTCATAGTTAGCAGGGACCTATTCAATCTGTACCAGTACAGCTACAACAGACATGTACCCGACACTGGGGAAAATTGCCCAGATATGTCTACTTGATAAAAAAGCAAGGCTAGAGAAGAAATTGTGGGGGGCCCGGCTGATGTATTTGCGTCATGATTCGCCATGGGTGAGGTCTCAGAAGACTGGAGGGTAGTGAATGTTGTGCCCCTATTGAAGATGGGCTGCAAAGGAAAACCTGGGAACTATAGACCAGTAAGCCTTACATCTGTGGTAGGTAAGTTACTTGAGAAGATTCTGAGAGATAAGAGTGGCATGCATTTGGAAAGACAGGGTTAGATTAGGAGTAGTCAGCATGGCTTCATGCACGGGAGATCATGCCTCACAAATTTGTTCGAGTTCTTTGTAGTGACCAGGAAGGTTGTGAGGGCAGGACTGTAGAGGTAGTCTATATGGATTTCAGTGAGGCCTTTGATAAGGTTCCACATGGTAGGCTGCTCTGGAAGGTTAGATCATGTGGAATCCAGGGAGAGTTGGCAAATTGGATACACAATTGGCTTGATGGTAGGAAGCAGGCAGTAATAGTGGAAGAAAAACAGGAAAAAAAACAAAGTTGCTGGCAAATTGGATATGCATTTAGCTTGATGGTAGGAAACAGAATATTAGTGGAAGGATGCATGTTGGACTGGAGGCCTGTGACTAATGGTGTGCCTCGGGTCAGTGTTGGGCCCATTGCTGTTTCTTATCTATATCAATGATTTGGATGAGAATGCATAAGGCATGATTAGTAAGTTTGCAGATGACACTAAAATAGGCAATATCATGGACAGTGAGGGGGTTATCAGAAATTGCAGCAGGATCTTGATCAGCTGGGGAAGTGAGCAGAGAAATGGCAAATGGAGTTTAATATAGATAGGTGTGAGGTGTTGCATTTTGGAAAGTCAAATCCAGGTAGGAGTTTCATGGTGAATGGTAGCGCCTTAGATTGTGGTGGAACAGAGGGACCTTGGAGCGCAGGTGCACGGTTCTCTGAAAGTGGACTCCTAGGAAGACAGAGCAGTGAAAGAGGTTTTTGGCACACTGACCTTCAACAGTCAGGGCATTGAGTACAGAAGTTGCGAAGTTATGTTGCAGTTGTACAGGATGTTAGTGAGGCAGCACATGGAGTATTGTGAGACAACAAGGTGCAGGGCTGGATGAACACAGCAGGCCAAGCAGCATCATAGGAGCAGAGAGGCTGACGTTTCGGGCCTAGACCCTTCATCTGAAAAGGGGGAGGGGAAGGGGGTTCTGAAATAAATAGGGAGAGAGTGGGAGGCGGATAGAAGATGGATAGAGGAGAACTATTGCGTTTAGTTTTGGTCACCTTGCTATAGGAAGGATGTTATTAAACTGGAAAGAGTGCAGAAGAAATTTACAAGGATGTTGCCAGGACTCAAGGGACTGAGTTATAGCGAGAGGTTGGACAAGCTAGGACTTTTTTCTTTAGACCTTAGGAGACTAAGTGGGGGGGGGACGGACACCCTTGTAAAAGTGCATAAGATCATGAGAGGGATGGATAGGGTGAATGCACTCAGTCTTTTTCCCAGGGTTGGGGAATCGAGGACTAGAGGGCATCAGTTTATGGTAAGAGGGGAAAGAATACATGGGAATCTGATGGCAATGTTTTTACACAGCGGGTGGTACACATACAGAATGAGCTGCCAGCAGAAGTGGTTGAGGTGGGTACCTTAACAACATTTAAAAGACATTTGGATAAATACATAGATAGGAAAGGTTTAGAAGGATATGGGCCAATTGCAGGGAAATGGGATTAACGTGGGTGGACATTTTGGTCGGCATGGACCAATTTGAGCTGAAGGGCCTGTCTCCGTGCTGTACTTTGACTCTGTGACTCTAAATTCTACCTGGCCATTTACTGCTCTATTGGTCTACTTTCGATCAATGGTGAAATGATGGAAGGGGAGAAATAAGTGTACAAATGAAAATGACCCAGAATGTAAAAAATAGATTGTAAGAGTCTTCATAAGTTTTGAAATAAGACAAGGGTTAACCAAGTGAGCATTGTTCCTTTGTAAAGTAAGACTGGATAATTAATGTGAAATAAGAAAATGGCAGATGAATTGAATGAGTATTTTGCATCAGTCTTCCCTACAGAAGGTACAGGTAACATCCCAGAAGCCGTGCTAAATCAAGAAATACAAGAAAGATAGGAACTTAGGAAAATTACGGTCTCCAGTCAAGGGGTGCTGAGTAAATCTTTGCCACAGTGGGCTGTCAAGTGCCTGGGTTCTGATGGACTTCAACTTAGAGTCTTAAAGAAGTGGAGGGGAACCGATATGCTGGTGGGCAGATTTGCTAGTGCTGCAAGGGAGAGTTTAAACTAGATTGGCTGTGTGGGGTCCTCAATGGCATGGAGACAAGTGTGAGGCTGGAAGGAATTACAGTAATCAGAAATACCAAGTTCAGGAGACAGGTCAGGCTAGAACAGGACAGGGAGTGAGGAATGACTGTTGGATTAAATTGCATCTATTTCAATGCAAGAGGGCTGACTGGTAAGGCTGATGAACTCGGCTTGGATAGGTACTGGGGCTGGGATATTATAGCCATTACAGAAACATGGCTAAGGGAGGGACAGGACTGGCAGCTTAATGTGCCAGGGTACAGGTGCTTTAGGCGGGACAGATGTGAAAGAAAGAGGGGAGGGGAAGTTGCATTTTTGATTGGGGGGAGTATCTCAGCAGTAGTCAGGTGAAATAACGGAGGGTTCAACCAGTGAGGCTTTGTGGGTGGAGCTAAGAAATAGGAAGGGTATGGTGATGTTATTGGGTTGTACTATAGGCCCCCAAATTAGAGGAAGAAATATGCAGGGAGATTGCAGAGACATGCAGGAGAAGTAGGATTGTCATAGTGGGGGATTTTATGTTTCCTAACATAGACTGGGACTGCCACAGTGTTAAGGGCTGAGATGGACTGGAATTTGTTAAACCTGTTCAGGAAAGTTTCCTCAACCAGGGTATTAGAGGGTCCTACTCGGGAAGAGGCAAACCCGATCTAATGTTGGAAAATAGGGCAGTACAGGTGACTGAGGTGACAGTGGTGGGCACTTTGGGACCAGTGACCATAATTGTAGTAATTTTAAAATAGTTATGGAGAAGGCCAAAGCCAGTCCGCAGGTTCAAGTTCTAATCTGTGGCAAGGTGAATTTTGATGGAATTAGACAGGAGCTTGCAGGAGTTGATTGGAGTAGTTAGTTTGCAGCAAAGGGACCTCTGGCAAATGGGAGGCCTTTAAAAGTGTGATAGCTGGAGTGCAAGGTCTATATGTTCCGGTGAAGGGCAAGGTTGGCAGGAGTAGGGAACCCTGGATGACACGAGATATGGAAGTTTTGACCAGTTTTGACCAGCTCAAGAACAGGCAGCTGGGATCAAGGGAATCCCTGGAGATATATAGGGGATTCAGGAGTTTACTGAAGAAGGAAATCAGGAGGGCGAAAAGGGGGCATGAGATGTCTTTGGCTGAGAAGATTAGGGTGAATCTAAAGAAATTCTTTATATTAAAGGAAAAAAAACTAGGAGAAAATAGGACCCCTGAAGGACCACAGTGGGCGTGTAAGTGTGAAACCACAGGAGATGGAAGAGGTCCTCAATGAATATTTCTCCTGTGTTTACTGTGGAGAAACTTGGGGAAGTTAGTGGCAATATCTTGGGGATAGTCCCTATCACAGCAGAGGAGGTGTTGGAAGTATTAGAATGTATGAAGGTGGATAAATCTCCTGGTTTTGATCAGATATATCCAAGAACCCTGCAAGAGACTAGAGAACAAATTGCGGCGGCCCTGGCTGTTGGAAACAGTATATTAGATGGAGAGAGAATTGGTTAAGTAATAGAAGACAGAGTTGGGTTAAAAGGGGACATTTTCAGGATGGCAATTTGGAACTAGTGGAGTGCCACAGGGATCAGTACACAATTATTTATAATATATATTAATGACTTGGATGAGGACAGTGAATGTATTGTTACCAAGTTTGTACTTGACACAAAAATAGGTGAGAATGCAGGTGTTGAGGATGACAGAGTCTGCAGCAGGAAATAGACAGGTTAAACGAGTGGCAAAAACACGGTAGATAAAATATAATTTGAAAAAATGTGAGGTTACACATTTTGACAGGAAGAATGGAGGAGCTGAATATTATTTAAATGGAGACAGATTACAGACAGCTAGAGTATAGGGGGTTCTGTGTAAATCAAAGTTTGCATCTAAGTTCAGCAGATAATAGGGAAGGTAAATGGAATGCTGGCCTTTCTTACAAAATATCTAAATAGGGAGGTAGGCGATGGCCTAGTGGTATTATCACTAGACTATTAATCCAGAAACCCAGCGAA